TAGATCTTGGTTCCACTTGCCTCTTACCCGTGACTTCAGTGGAAATTTCAAATTCAGGATCTGACACAGACTGATTCATGTTCTACATAGTTAATAGAAATGCCTGTTCAATTAGAACCAAGTATTTGAGTTGATGATTGTAATTTTTATACAATGTTGTAATTTGTGTTTCAACAATTTTTTGATTAATGCTTTGTTTCCGTTACAATATTATACTTTAATGTATAATATTGTAAAGGAAACAAAACAGGAAACAATCTGTGCCACATATGTGTACAGGCACCGTTAATGCTAGCATGAACAGATAATTCTTGCTAGCTTGGAAAGTTTACCTGGTTGATTCATCCTACTTTACCAACCATCCATTGTTTCTACGCATGCGCACAACCCATTGTGAATATTTGTTATGGTTAGGTTTAGTCAGAAGTCACCGTCAAATTATAATACGGGTAGGACCATTTGCCAAAGTAGGATGGTTTCTAAGAACACCGGCTACAAACGCAGGTATCTCACCAAAAGGAATTCTAATGAATAAAATATTTTAAACCATTAAAAACAGTATTTAAAAAGGCTTTAAGTAGCATTTTTATGCAACAATCACACTGAGGAATTACAAGACGAGACTGACATATGTACTATACAGCAGGATGTGTTCGACTGTCTGACTTCAAAATGCTCGATTATATCATATCTTCAACAAATACTATCAACTTTTTTCAATCAGCTCAATTTAAACGATTAAAATCCCAAAGATGCTGAGATAATAAACGTATACATCAAGCAGAAGCAACAAATATAATATAATGCTTACCAAATAAAACTATCTTTGGTGTTTTACGGCAGAAAAAAACCCTCCAATCATTAATAATCATAATTACTAGAGGTTTGTATGTTAACATTACTGATAGTATTATTATTTAATGCAAAGATTTTTTTTTTAATTTATTCATTGTTTAGGTTTTCTTGCAGAAATAACAAAATGTATATGTTGGTTCCAGCTCTTTAGATGTGAGGATTTTTGCAGCTTTTATTTACCTTATATGAGAAGAGACAGGACACAATTAGTTTATGAAAGGTAAGCTAAAACAAGCTGCTTGTGTTTGATTTAAGGAAAATGGGGTGAACACGTTGCACCTTTTTTAATCCATTTTAGGAGAAAACAACAAAAGAAAAGTTAAACAATTACAAAAAATCTTAAAACTAATAGCAGTAAGTATTTGTGTGCACTAGTTTTATTTTTAATACTACAAGTACATTTTCCTGATTATACTCTTTACATTGATTTTACTTGCTGAATTTGTATTTTTTATTAAGTTAAATATCTAAAGGTATTTAAAAAATAAATAAATAAAACCCTCCAACAC